ATGGTTCCCTCACCAGCCAGAACTGGACCGGAAAGCGGTTCTGGGTTCTGGACCTTCACTAGTGGTCCGGTTCTGGTTCGACTTTCCCGAACCTTCCCGAACAGTTCCTTGACCTTCGAATTCCCTCGACTTCGACACCAACCACGACAACATCGGTGTCCATGTCGACATCAAAACACTGTCTTCGAGATTTGCATTATTTGTTAATCAGGCTACTGTTAGCCTTTTTGAAGGTAAGTACTAATCAATTTATTCTCAAGACTCTGACATATGTTTACCTATATCACAGATATCTACTTGTTCTAGTCTATATGCTTCCTGGATAGTCATGATCCTCCACCGTTCTCAACTCTAACAGATCTCCTTGGATATTGTCGCTCTGTGGGTGTTAGGCTATGTGCCATGCATAAAACGGGGTGCCGACCAAAAAACTGTGAGTTATTTGCCTGACGATGTCTGAAGACTGCTGTGCTCTGAACGCTGACGGCACCCTCAAGGATGCTTCTGAAATTACCTTTTTTAATGATCCTGACGATAAAGTACCATTGCCCCAGGTCGCATCTTCTGCCCAGCCATCCTCTTCCACTACATCCGCAAAGGACACCTTCTCCGTTCTGCTCAAGGCTGGATGCACCCATTATCAAGCGCCTCCAGCCCCAGGACCACATCCCAAGGAGCCAGAGGCCACGTCATCAACATGAAAGCTTCGATTCGTTATGGTGCTTCCTGGATGCGCGACGCTATCATGGAACGTCAAGCTACAGACCATCGCACGCGCAATCCTCATCAAGCTCTCTGCATACCTTACTTCACCATTGGAGGAGACTGATGATGTTGTGGCATGGTGGGGTAAGTCAGCCCTCAAATTCATTGTTCCCCTTACATTCTTGATTAGTTACATTCACTGCAGGTACCCAACACTAGCTCGGTGTTGCGCGTGAGTACCTGCCCATTCAAGGCAGCGTTATGTTCCCTTCTGAACGCGCTTTCTCCAGGCGGGCATCACATCAACTCTGCGCCGCAACGCAACTCGCAATCATCCACTTTCTCCGCACTACAATTGATTGAAGGCAGCCTATAAGAATGGACATGGTGTCAGCAAGCAGTAGAGGCAGAAGGGTATGCAGTTGGTATGCAGTTAGACTAGCTACCCAATGTCATGTAGATGTCTTGTGAATGTTTTTTCCATTGCTTGAAAAATTTTCGGTTCAGTTCGCATTCGGACCAGACAAGAACCGGATCCGGACCATTGAGAACCGTTCTCAATGGTCTGGTTCTGGGTTCGACAATTTTAAAGAACCGAACCATGGTTTGGTTCTTGGTTCTCGTCAGGACCCTCTGAACCGGACCGAACCGGACCACGGCAGCACTATCTGAGATAGTAGGAGTGTTATTGTCGAGAGGGATATTGACAGGAAGCAATTGTTGACCACTGAGTTCAACAATATATTGGAGCTCAGGTACATCTGGTGAAGGTCTCTACATACCTGCAAGACAATTGTCAGTACATAGGGGAGATCAGTGAGAACAGAAACTCGGGCTTCATATCCTGGTTCATGATAGTGAGTTGAGACTTCAAACTTGGTTGAGACCCCTTTCCCATTTCATATCGGTAGCAGTGCCACCAAGGCCCCGACTTTTCATCTCATTGGAAACAACTACGTCCATCCCGATCAAATATAGAAGGTCTTGAAGTGATAGTACAACGAGAGGTATGATACACGTACAGATATACAGCTGACAAGTACAAGCGATGGTAATGATTATTTCCCAAACGTCCAGCTCTGTGGCATCACTTTTCGGTAAGTCCTCCCTCACTGTTAAGCGTGCGCCTCTTCGTTAGCTCCATTGTCGGCATTTCCGTTCTTGTTCTTCCGGCGGATGACAACATATGTGTCGCCCGATTCGTCACCCGAAATAGCTTCGATGTCCCCACCGACGTGGCCCGCACGCTCAGGCTCGATAAGTTTGCTGCAAAGGGGTGAGAAGCTGTCAGGATGTGAAATAAGACGAGACACTGACCGCTCAGCGCGAATCATGTTCAGGTCGTGGGAGACAAGACCGTGTCCGGCTACAGGACCATAATAGGATATTCCTGCAAGGGAGCCGATGATGCACGTGCCAACGAGGATAGAAAGGTAGAAGCGGTATTGGGAATACCATTTTGGTGCTGAGAAGGCGGCACAATTAGAAGGGAAGCACGACCCTGGAACAAGGAGACTCACTCCAACCGGCAGCTGTGACTTTATTATCGGCATACCACAATGCGGTGAATCCAAGCCACTGCCAGAGGAGGGCGAAGGTAGGTTGGAGAGTAATAGTGGACCAGGCCAATACCGCAGGAGAGATGCCGAGGAACAGACGAGGGTAGCCTTTATAGCCGCCCAGACCACTAAATTCCATACCCCAGTGTATTGCACCTAAAAATAACATGAGTCAAAGTATAGAAGTAGAAGTGGAAACACGTGCCAAGGAAGGACAGAAGGACAGCGCCATAGTGGACTTGGAAGTTGAGGGCTTGGTCTAAGATGTTAAGGGCAACGCCAGGGTCCATATTTGTGAGAACACCCATTGTGGCGAGACCTGCTTGGTGCGCAAGATATACGGTAGTGGCAGATGAGGCGATGTATGGGATGCCACCAGTAAGGCCCATGACGAGATAGGGGGTTGGGACAGAGTGGGCGACTGCGGTGGTGATACCGAACTAAATTGGATAATTAAAGTACTATGGTTAATAAGAAGAACGACCTGATGTACAAAGAGCGACGTACGAAAGAGTCTTTTGATGGTTTGACGCTATCTACTGTGAACACGCCACCAGCGATGGAGCGGGCCCAGTCTGTCATCGAGTTCCCGACTTCCTCTTTCACATTCTGCTTGGCGTGCTCGATAGTCTGGCTTCCTGGTCTGCCTGCGACAGAGCTTGCTGCGAAGCGCGCGTGGACTTGTGCAAGGTTTACGGCTGCAGGACGAGCAGTGAATTGGAAAGAGGTTTGAAACTGTGATGAACGGCGAAGGGCGAGCGGGGCACGACGAAGAGCAGCTGTACGAGAAAGTGTACCAAAGAGAGTGTTCATCGTTACAGTCAGATTAGTAGAAAGCGAGGTTTGGTATGAACCAGGCCTTATAGAGCATTCCAAATGACGTCGCGTGACATCATGGAACCGCAAGCATTATACCAAAGTTGGAAGCAGAAATGAAATCACAACGCCCATTCCATCAGGCCGCCGAGGGAACACGCATGACTACGGCAGCTACAGGGGAAGTTGGGGTATATCCTAGCGTGGAGAAGCATCCACCTGATCTTCCCCGCACATCAAACGGACCTTGGTACAATCATTCATACGTGGCCGCCATTCAGACCAATAACCCTGTCATACCCTGGTTCAAGTACTTGGAGGGCGGCCGTGCGGAGTGAAGACGTGGTCCAGAAACAATGTGGATCAGTCTAATAATAGATTCAGTTTCTATTACAGGATTCAGAACAGCAGTTCGGATGAAAGCGATAGGTGTGTCGCTCTATCGTGTTGTCACCCATGGTCTTGAATCCCCCTCCTACATGCTCAGCGCTCACCTCTTGCTTTATGTAACCTTTCCTTCACTTCTTTTACGTTCGCATTTAGTTCAGTGCGCTGTTGACACGTGCGTATCCCTCTTCTATTTCCACAACTGACGTCGTATGCTCTTGAAACACAGGCCTCGGCCTCAGCGCTGCGGCAGCGTTCGCAAGCTTCCTTTTCCCTTTCACTTATCCGGCTCCCATATTGCTTTACTATTTACTGTTCAACAAGTACTGCGTCACCATCATGATCTGAATCCTGCAGTCTGCACAAGGTAAAGAGAGAAAACGGCAAAGAGACAAACTGTCTACCAAGGTTGGACATATTGCCGGCAGGGAAGGTTCAAATCAAATTCAAACGTTCTGCTAGCATGCCATAGTAGGGCGAGTGTTATGTAATCCAAATCATGTTTGTGTCACATCCGGGTCTCGGCCTCTTGAGCATGGGCCGCTAGTTTGAACTTTGAAACCTACAACATTGCCACGATATCAATGTTATTAATGCGCGATACTTCTAGCGCTGTAGCCCATCTCTCAGTCTTCTCCCAACCCCATTCACCCCTACCACATCGATACTATCAAACTCGAAGTTCCACATGGATTCCGATGATAACAGTGCAAGCGGCGATTTTGTGTGAGTCCTCATTTTCGTGTGATTGTATATGAACTGAATACCTTCATTTTAGTCCACTTGTGAATCTTCTCCGGCAGATTATCGAGGTCCTCGAGACTTCCAGCATCGCCGAGGAGAGAGGAAAGGGCGCGGCTTCTAAATTTTGGGCTGCATACAAAAAGATATCTGGCGAATACGACGACAACATGTTAGAGAGGTGTAATGGCAACATGGATATAATAATGCTCTTTGTACGGAAATATATGGTTGATTTTATTACCACCTAAATGAATAACCAGGCTGGTCTGTTTTCCGCCGTCAATACCGCATTCATCATTGCAATGCAGCCCAATCCCGCTGATACCACCAACGACCTTTTGGTACAGTTTATGCAGCACACATGGAACGGATCTTCTGTCGCCCAGCCAGTGACCTTTTCGGCGCCCGTCTCTTACTCTTCTTCCAAAATCTGGATGCAGGTGCTTGCATATATGAGCCTTACATTTAGTCTGCTTGCCGCCTTCGGCGCTGTCTTGGGCAAGCAATGGTTGAGTCACTATAAGACCAATCGTTTTGATCGTGGTCGACTTGGAGACCGATGCCAGCATAGGCATCGCAAGTTTGAGGAGCTAAAAAAGAGGTGGTTCGAACATGTCCTGCATTCATTCCCAGTTCTTCTCCAGATCTCTCTCGTTCTGTTTATTTTGTCCTTGGCAGCTGCCATGTGGATGCAACACCGGATCGTTTCCTATTTCATCATCGTACCAACTGCTTGCGGTGCCCTCCTCTATCTCTACATCGTCGCGGTATCTCTGAGATTCCCTGACAGTCCATTCCAGACGTGGATCTCCTTAGCCATTCTATATGTCCTACGTATTGGCCACCAAAATCATGACGATTCTACTGCATCCGCCATGTCATGGATCTTGGACACTTCGACAAACCCTGACGTTCTCAGTTTGGCGCTCGACCTGATGGTTACCATGTCCAAGCAGTCGCAGAGTATCCTGTCCAAACAGTCGCAGTATGTCTTGTCACCGTCGTTGATCAAGAAAGTGTTAGACATGTTCAGGGCATGTTTCAAGTCTACACCATCAGACCAAGACAACGCAGTGTCATTTGGGAGGGCGTTGATTCACATCTCTTGGAAGCATCATGACATGGCGAAGGAGATACTTAATGGACTCATGCCAGAGTGGGAGCACTGGCAATTGTGGCGCAGACTGTATCTTCCTTCGGCACTGGAACAGTGCCATATTTCATTCCGCCGAATGAAGGATACTGCTTCTGCAGACCTACGGGACCAAGCAGACAACATGCGCACTGCTCTGCGGATGGCGCTGGGTGCTGGCATGGATAGATTTGTCAATCCAGACGAGGAATATGTAGAATTGGTTTGGCGTGGTGAATTCGGATCGGAACTCGATCCCTCAAAGGTTGACTGGCTCATGGAATGCGCGGAACATTACAACAACACCCAAGATTTCGAGGCAGCAGGAGATGCTCTCCTCTTGCTCAGTCACCTCAAG